CCCAGGAGTCACACTAGAATGTTAATCAGGTTACTGAGTAGGACCCAGGAGTCACACTAGAATGTTAATCAGGTTACTGAGCAGAACCAATCCTTTGGTTTCCCTTCTGTCTTCAAACAGGTCCACAACCTAACCCTTCCCCGATTCTGACCCCATATAAGTCTGCACTGCCCTATATTTGGCACTCAGAATCTGGAGAAATTAGTTCCTCTCAGCTAGCCGGCTTAATAAAGTCTGAAACTGTGCTTCACCTCTCCGAGTGACCTCGGTTTCTTCGACCACAGCTGCTGTGACACTTTTAAATCTAAAACTGCTGTAACAAGGAGGGACCAGTCCCTGAAGAAGGATATCATGCTTGGAGAAGTGGAGGGTCAGTGAAAAAGAGGAAGACCCCAACAAGGTGGGCTGACACAGTGGCAGTAACAATGGGCTCAAACATAATAACAATTGTGAGGATGGTGTAGGACCAGGCAGTGTTTTATTCTGTTGTGCATTAGGGTCACTAGGAGTTGTAACCAACCGAGTGGCACCTAACAATAACAATCACAGAACAGTGTGACCTGAAAATGCAGGGTAATTTGTTTTAAAAATTAAGAATTTCAGGACAACCACCAAAAACCTCCCCAATCCCTTACTGTCTAATATATCCTGACTCATGGTGACCCCAGGTCTGACCAAGTAGAACTGCTCCAGCCACAAGGTTTTCATTTTTTATAAAGATTGCCAGTCCATTCTTCCGTGGTGCCACGGGTTAGTCATAGCAAACCACTTGTCACCCAGGGACCAAGGCAGACATAGACAACCTTTAAAGCAAGTACAGAGTTCTTCCAGGTGTGGGTTCCTGTGTTACCACACTGATCACATACCTGAAAGCAGCCCTACTTGGGTCCCACCCCTCAGAGTGTCTAATCCCATAAGTGTTGTTAGATGGGCCTGGGAATCTGCATGCCTTGCAAACATTCCAGGGACCCTGCTGCAGATGGCCCTCAGAGCTCTTAGATCAAGGTGATACTCGAACTCTTGCCCTTAAGAGGGAAGCTCCGTGTGATTTCCACTTGGTAACGGGCACAATCCTGAGCCTAGATACCCCCCACCATTGACTCAGTCCTATTCTATTTGGAAAAGGAAATAGATGACGAATCTATTTGGACAAATCAGAGATGAAAAAATTACTCCCAAAAAACGGAATCATCAGTTCAGGGCTCCCAAGGAAAGATTCTGGTAGAAAGTCAATGCAATGCACACTTGGTGGGTTGGTGGGTTTGGGCAGGGAACTCGAGCCTGCCCTAGTATGAATCATGATCGAATAGATCACTGGCAAGGCGCTTACATGATTCAGAGTTTCCATGGAGCTAAAAAAAAAAAATGAGAAACATCTGTTGGAGCAGCAAACAGCTGTTCCCCCAAGTTTCACAGTTCTGAGAGGATGCCGTGCAGGGTGGGGTGCCTCCCACACCTGTTGCCTTCCGTGTTCCCGTGACAGTCCCTTGGAGAACACTGCATGATGACAGCAGGCTCCTTCCAAACAGGAAAAGGCATCGGAACTCCCAGCCTCTCATATCTTCCATCCCCGCGGAAAGCCAAGACTCTCACCGCATGCGGCTGTTTTATTTCCTTTTGAGAAGGCAGGAAGTGTGAGACTTGGAAAACCTATTGTCCGATGATGTATGATGCACTAGAAGTCCAGAAGACGAGCAGCATGGTTTGTAGGTTCAAGGAATTGCTATTACTTGCATCTATGTAAGGAGCTCTGGTAGCGTAGTGGTTACGAATCGGGCTGCTAATCTCAAGGTCAGCAGTTCAAAACTACCAGCTGTTCCGCGGGAGAAAGATGAGGCTTTCTGCTCTTGTAAAGACTTACAGTCTTGGAAACCCTGTATAGGCTTGCTATGAGTCGGAACCGACCCCACGGCACACCACCACCACCACCACCAAAGACATATGCAGAGCTCTGGTAGCATAGTGGTTACGAATCGGGCTCCTAATCTCAAGGTCAGCAGTTTGAAAATTACCAGCAGCTCTGCGGGAGAAAAATGAGGCTTTCTGGTCCCATAAAGATTTATAGCCTCGGAAACCCTATACAGGCTCGCTATGAGTTGGAACTGACTCCATGGCGCATAACAACAACAATGTAACAGAAATTCCACAAGGGTGGGCTGCTTTGTTCAGAGTATTTGTTCTGCGTTACCAGAGGAACATCCATAATCCAAAAGGAATTGAATCAGTGGGGGAGCTCTTTCTCAGAAACCTACATGGATTTTGGAGAACTCTCATATATATGCCTTACCCTCCCCGCCAACCCTTTAGGCAGATGGAACTGATTATGGCTCTTTTGTTTATATCAACATAGGAAGGATGTTGGCAAATCTGCACATGAATCCAAGCTGAAGACATTTCCTCTCCTGAGCACGCCCGGCCAGAATTTCAAAGATGGCCTTACAGTCTGCAAACATGTTGGGCTTTCTCAGTTGCACTCTTGATCTGTCTGCTTGCTTGCTTTGCTTTCTTGTGTCTTGTTTTGGGGGCTGTGTAAGTGATCGTACATTAGATCCTGGAGGTCAGTGGTTCTCCACCCCACCGGGCAGAGATGTGCAGCTCCTGGTCTCCACAAGGGTGGACAAGGTCTCCACTCCTGACGGCATCTTCCACCAGGAGGGACCTCCCTAAGCTGTGGGGGCGTCAGCTCCACCTGCTTGTTCCTTCAAAAAGGATCTCAGGGATGCACCAAGCATTTTCTAACTCACAGCAGCTCAGGGTAGGGTGGGCTGGTCAGAGGCAGAGTCTTTAGGGAAGCCTTCCAGAGTTGGATGTGGTCATTACAAGATAGGTCTTGACCACTTGGTGACATTTTAATTTCCAACTTCCATCTGGGAGTCAGGAAAACAGGAATGGGAGTACCTAGTTCTGGACAGTGAACCACCTCTTCCCGCTCTCACCACCTTTCCTTGAGTTGCCCTCACTCCAAACACAAGGTACAGAGATGCCACTCTGTGTGTGGAGGTGTCAGCTGCTGTTGGCTTGTGCCCCCAGGCTGGTGGAGGCATACTGACAAGCCCGTTCAACATCCACACCTACGACCTGGTATTTGCCAGAAAGTCTCTCAAGACAGTGGCCACAGGGTACTTGAACCCTCTATCCTTGGTCACTTCCCTTGTGAAATAAGGAAGAACCCAATGGCTGAGAAGTATTTGCATGTTGTTTTGAACTGAATGCTTAGTACTGTAAACTTCTTGAAACTGAAACAGTTTCAACCCACAATGGAATTTTTGTAAGCCCAGGACGTATCTGAGGGCAAACACAAATAAATTGTGTTTATTAAAAAATAGATACATGAACATATGTACACACACATACACATATGGAATCCCTGGGTGGTACAACATGCTCTCAACTGACTGGAAGGAAGGGTTGGTGATTTGAATCCATTCTGAGGCACCTCTGAAGAAAGACCTGGCGATCTACTTCTGAAAAAGCCAAGCACTGAAAACTCTAAGGAGTACAATTCTACTCTGACACATATGAGGCCTACATAACTCAGAATCAACTGGACAGCAACGAAGAACAACATACTAATGTGTGTATGTGTGTGTGTGTCTGTGTATACAAAGGGGGTTTTAAAAATTGGTGGAATCATGGAATTAGAAGATAATGAATTTTTTTTCCACAAACTTTTTGAATTCCTCTTGTACATACACACACAGTGTCCTCAAAAAGTTTATGGGAAAATTCCATTATCTTTAAATTCCATTTTCCACAAACCTTTTGTAGCTCCTTCATCTATATCCAAAGACATTATTATTCATTTGTTGTTGTTGTTAAGTGCCATGGAGTTGGTTCCGAATCACAGTGACATTCTGTAGGGGTTCCGAGAAGTGGCTGGTGGGTTTGAACCGCCAACTTGCAGTTAGCAATCCAGTGCTGATCCTACAGTGTCAAGCAAGTAAATAATAAACTAATTATAATAATATATAATATACAATTATGGCATTATAGGGTAAGCACTGGACCACAAAATCAGTTGAAACTCACCAGTCACCCCTCAGAAACACTATACAGGATCACTATGGGTCAGAACCGACTTGAGGGCACTTAACAATAACTCTCAGACAGAGGTTTTCCTCCTGGTTCTCCCCCACGATCATGACCCATTTGACACTCTCTGGTCTCTTTAGTCCAACTACTTCTGCTTAGTAGACACAGGCCAGAGAGACTGACTCCCCATTCAGGGCCAAGAGCTACTTAGTTGCCCTCAAACACTAATGCTGCAGGGTCAGTGCTGGGAGGCTGACGGGGTCACAGGTACCAGCACACAACGTGGTCATCCTTGGAGATGCCATCAGCAGCTGCCTTGCCACACACCATCCATGCCCATGAGGAGCCCAAACAGTGAGGTGACTTGCATCCGATTCTCTGGCTTGCTTCTCATCCAAAGAGACCGTGAGTCCCCTCGTTGAGAATGGAAGTTAGGCCAGGAAAGAGCCGGCTTCCACAGGCAGGGCCAGCGCATCAAGGTAGACACAGTTCTTGAAGTACTTCCTGGTGACCCCAAGTATCCTGTTAATTGTTGTTGTTGTTGCTGTTAACAACCACCGAGTCGGTTCCAACTCAGAGACCCTGTCTGTATAAGGTTTCCAAGGAGCAGCTGGTGGGTTTGAACTGCCGACTTTGCAGCCCAGTATTGATCCTACATCACCATACCAGAACCCCATCCTATTAGTGTTGTTGTTAAGGGCTGTGGAGTAGGTTCTGACTATAGCAACCCTGTATAGGGTTTACAAGGAGCGGCCGGTGAGTGTGAACTGCTGATCTTGAGGTTCAAACCGACCTTGAGACCCAGCGCTGATCTTCCAGCCCCACCGCAGGCCTGCACCCTATTAGTAACCACAGTAATGAGCATGCTGGGCCACCTCTCCACTGACATCTGTCTCTGGGAACCCACCAGGGTCACCCTCTGCTCACTCCCATCTTCCTGCAGAGCTGCTTGGATCAGACTAGTGATCAGGAGTGCAGGTCCAGATGGCCAGACAGTATGGACAGGACCCAGACTTCTTCAGAGGAAATTCAGGCAATATCGGACACCACCTACAAACACGACTTGAGTGTTCACAGGCACGTTGATGGCTGGGAGCAGGCAGCTCAGGTCACCAGCAGTCCATTGGAGAGGCATCTGAGTCACTTCCATGTGGCCCCCGATTGGTTCAGACATAAACAGACCTTTGATGTGCAGACCCTCAGTGAGGGGCTGTGTTCCTCCACACCCTCCCTCCTGCCACCCCCTCTTCCTTCTGGTAAAAGGAAAACACTGGGAAATTCCAAGGAAAGGCCCCAGGCCTAACATTTCCTGGCTCTCTGAGACACGTAGTGCTTCAGAGGGAGCTAAAGTGGGTGCGGAAGGATCCGGAAGGATCTGGAAGCCCGGGCTTGTGCCTGAGTTCTAAGCTGGACAGGAGCTGGGCTGCTGCCCAAGTAGGTGCTCATCTATTCTCCCAGTCAACAGCGGTGGGATTCTGGCTGGAGGGCAGATTCTGGGACATTGTGTTAGGTACACTGAGACTTCCGGGCTGAGACCCCACAGCTGAGGTCCCTGCCTTCAGGAAGCTTCTGCCCGTGGCTTCCTAGAACTGCTGTATGTGTGTGTGGGTGCTTTAAGAACAGAAATGGAGGTTGTCACAGTTGAGGAGGCTGGAAGGCTGAATTCAGGGCGCTGACTCTGGGGAAAGTCTTTGTCTTCTTTGGTTTCAGTTTTCCCAGCATGCCTCAGTGCCTTGACCATATGGGTCAGAACCGACTTGGGGTACTTAACAACAATCTCTGCATTGAATCTGCTCTTTGTGGAACTCAGACGTGATTAGATTCATGTTAATGACCAGGTCTCATTGACACAACCAACAAAATCCTAACTCCAAATGGGATCACTTCCATAGCTCAAGAGGTCAGGACCTCAACACAATTCAGCCCATAACACGTTCTAATGGGGGAGCCCCACAGTCAGCCAGTTACAGGCACTGGTCAGTCATCTGGTCCAACAAAATTGTACTGGGCACCTCCTTTATGTCCAAAAATAGAACACCTGTGGAAATGCTGACACCACGTACACTCACCCTGAGTCGATTTGTTAAATAAAAACTGGGATGACAAACCGGATCCGTTACAGGAGAGGTGGGAGAGCGGAGTGGAATCAGGTTCACCTTTTCCTTCAGATGGGGCCAACCAGCCACCTTCTGAGGGTTGTATGTGACTGTCTGCACTGAGGTAGCAGGTCCTGGGCGAGAGCCTTTTCTACTTACCCTGTGTCCAGTCTCTGACCTGCCAAAGAGCACCTCCGAGATGTCCAGCCCATCCAGATGCCGATCCTTGGGCAGGCTGGCCTGGGCTAGGGCCACGACGGTGGGAAAGATGTCCAGCACACTGGAGGAAGAACAAGACCGCATTGGTCCCAGGCTGCTTTGCGATTATTTCAATGGCCACGTTGTGGTCAAACCCCACCCAAACCAGCCCCAAATCTAGCACTGACAGGCTCTCCCGTGTGGCCTTCTTTCTCTGGCTTCTGCCCCTCCAAGAGGCAGAGTGCTGCGATGGTTCAAGCCCCCCACTCTGCCTCTTGCTATCTGGCTTCCCAACGCCTCGATCTTCTACTTTCCAAACTGGGCCTCGTCATAATAGTGCCTGCTTTCCAGGAGGGTTGTAGAGATGAAACTCAAAACTCAGGTAAGATGTTTAGGTGAAAGTCTGGGACTTGGAATGTATTCACTGAATGTTTGCTTTGTAATTAATTACAGGACTGAGCTCTTTCTCTAAGATCTAAGGAGCTCTCCACAAGCCAACAGCCACTCATTCGGAGGGAGCACTGAATGGAAGAGTCTGCAAAGGAATGAGCATTTCCATTTCCAGTTCCTGGTTCTCTGTGGTAAATGTTTACGCTCAGTTTAGAATACCATGATACAGTCCATCTTTCTTCCATTTTTTGTTTGTTTGTTTAACTTCTTTTCCCTCATTCCACAATAGTAAATGTTTGTTGTTGATCAAATTAGCACACACACACAAATTGTCCCATCACTCCAAGGCAACCACTGACAACATTTAGATGAGTCTCATTCATGAGTCCTGGTGTCGCTGTAGGATAATGCGCTCGACCAAGATGTCAGTTTGATCTGAAAGGTCAGCAGTTCAAACCCACCAGCTGCTCCTCAGAAACCCTACACAGGGTCGCTGTGGGTCAGAGCCTACTCGATAGCACTTAACAACAACTACAACAACAATAGTGGTGATGGTGGTTATGTGCCATGTGTGTCAGTTCCGACTCACAGTGACCCTGTATAGGATTTCTGAGGCTGTAAATCTTTACGGGAGCAGAAAGTCTCATCTTTCTCCCGCAGAACAGCTGGTAGTTTCGAACTGCTGAC